TCAAATTTAATTCCCACGTCCTTTTAAGAGGGGCGTAAAGTTCAAATAAATATGACCGCGAGGTCCAAATTATACTGGGTATGAGCGAGCGGTGACGAAGAAGTTGAGTGTCAATTGTTTCAAGGATACAGTTATTAGGACCAGCCGAGTGGAGCTCTCCGGCCCAGACAGAGTTGTTTGACCCTTTTATGAGTCATCCTTTACTGTTAGCAAATCATCTTTTGTGTGACATGTATGTCTCTATACTTTCTATAGTCTACCTACATTCGTCAAAAGTGTACCGTTTTGTTGATGATTTTTATATAAGTTGACAATGTCGTAGAAATAAAATTCGTCCTATATGTTTTTTAAATATGTCTCTCCTAGTGTTGATGGTATTTAGATTCACCATGAATTTGTTGACATGTAAATTATATTTTATATTTACTTAAGACGAAGGTGGTCTAAATACAACATCAACCGGTTTCTTGTATGCCTCTTATTTATTACTCTATTAACAATTCCGGCTTTGACAATATTTGGTTAGGCAAATGTCAAAAATAGTCTTTAGAAAAGTATTCATTGCCTCAATTATAATATTATTGTAGATACTTAGTTAGTTGTACTGCATAAAATCACTCGAGCTAGAAGGTGTTGTAACAGTGAAAGTACTTAAGCTTAAATAAGACCTTGGCGGTACTAGAAATAATGCCATTACACCTAAATCTGTGTCATTGAACATGAAGATTATTTATAAAACTAATATTGTGAAGGTAAGTTGTACTAATATTCCGATCTGTTGCGTATGAGTCACGCAACAGTTGACATTGAAAACGAAGCCTCTCTTTAATTCATGTTACATTATAATACCCGCATGACCGTTGCCGCTTTTAGAGCTCATAATGATACGAATTGACCATTCATGCCTGTTTTATGATTGTAACATTCATTCCTAAGTATCGTAACCGGAAACGCATCCAATTGCCTTGTAACTTATTGTGTAATTGTATTACAAACCTTCAAGTCATCCATAATCAGCTGTAATAAGCCTCGACCCAACAAGTTTTTATGTGGAGGAACCACCAACGCATGCACCCTCTCCAGCAGCCCCGGCAGTGCGCCAGGGTCATGCGACACACACCATTCCGCGAAGTCCTGCAAAGTACTTTGCTCCAGATTCTCCTGCTGACCCACGTACTCCCGCATCTGTCTGTTGGACCAAGCGACACGATTCAGCAGGTCTGACATCTCGTGCAGTCGCAGCTCCAGCCTAGTCGGCTTGTTTCCCTTCTTTGCTAAGAATAACGCTACATCACCAACTTTCTGTACACTAATTTCGAGTTTTTCTATCGATCGCGAGACGACCGCGAGTCGCGCCAAAATCTCCCGCTCTCGTCGGCGGACCACCGGCAGGTCCACCCCACCGGTTGCATTGAAAGGTTTCCCGAACACATCCCAGGAGTTGAGCACCTCTTCACCCACTTCTTTACCTAGTTTGAGGACGTCGAGGACCTCGTCAACGAGTGCACGCGATGTGTTCGCGAATACGAGTAGAACAAGAAGGACACGAAAGCTGCGCAAGCGTCGAACGGACATGGCGGCTGACGCGCACCCACTGATGTAGCTCACTCGAGGTCGTGGGGTTGCCAATACACAACACAAATTACCAATAACGCAACAAATTACATTTACTATTAAATCTTTACTAGAAATAAATTATTTAAATTAACTTAGTAGTTACTTATGCGTCGTGTGAGTGTATCGTATTAATTCAATAACGCGCCTAAGCACTGACTCAGTTGTATGATATCACAGAACTGACCGAGCAAGTTTCATATATTTTTTACCGTTTCTTTATCTCAGTGCGCTCTCATTGGTGGGACTTTATTTAGCAAAGCGTTAGTGAAAGTTATAGTTAACCATGTGTACAGTTATAGTAGCTTTAATCTGTGCTCGGTTTTTATTTAAATAAAAGTAATAAATTAATGCAGAAATAAACGCAATATGTACACAAATAAATACCGTTATTATACATATAAAAAAAAATTAAACGCAATAATTCAATGTTTATGATAATTCTTATATTCAAAACTCCCAACATGAGGCAAATTGAAAGTGTGGCTGGCAACACTGCGCCGTCGTTAAGCACGCGTTTACCCGCGCCCTCGTATTGTCAACAAACAAACAGTTTTTGGAACACTTTCCATTTCTTTTGTCGTACGATAACATACTTTGGACCCTTTATGATAAAATATTTTTTGTGTTGGAATTTTTATTAAGGGATGTTAGAAAAAAGTAGTGTTAATGGCAGCAGCGTAATGTTTGTTCATCAAGTAATAAAATTCAGCTTACATTTTTAAATGTATCAATCATTAGGTACCTGATCAGTTTGTGTAACTAAATTCCGATAGGATATTATTAAAACCATTTAACTATTTAACTCGTCGAGTACCGGTTTTGTAGACACAATTATAGAACAATAGGTTGCGGTCACCGGTGACCGCTTGGTGTTTGACAGTTTAATTGTGATAAATATGATTTTTTTTATTTTTTTATTCAGTGTATTACTAGATTATAGAAGCACCAATGATGGCGCTAGAATAATCTTAGTAATTTTTTATAGTTCATTATTAATCAGACTATTTACTGTAGGTCTGTACATTACGTGAATCATAATTATTGCAACCTTGCATTTAATATACTTATCTAAACCGATTCAAAGATACCGTTTTGCTGACAGGAGATCTCATTACAGATAGCTTATTACTCTGAATATGAAACTTGGGACATTGAACATATTATTTAAAAACATATTTAATGCAAGAAGTATTATGAAAGTTAATATATTTTAACGTAACATTTAAACAGCAGCTTAAATTGATAATTATTAGTGTTTGGGTATTCAAACGCTTGAGATAACATCGAATCTCGTCCCCAAGGCATTTTTAAGGCAAACAAAACGTATGCAGCAACATACTTCAGTGTTGTTTACATCCTGGCTGAATGAAGAATGTAATCAAATTGATTCATCATTTTACTTGCGTAAATGCGGTCCTTACCTACTTCGATTGGACTAACGCGTTGGTCGAGCAAGGGTTTTCTGGTTATTGGTACTCGTGTTTTTTATATATACACTGTAATAGCATGGAGTCTGATATCTCTAAGCAATGTAACATGTGTATCTGGAGAGAGAAGGATTTTCGTTTAAAAAATCTAGGATCTGTAATGGTCTCCAAAAATAACACCTAATGTTGACGAGCTCTTACTGTTACTAGATACTTCTAGCTTTATCAGCACCAGTCGTGAGTAGTAATGTCTTGTTAAATTACCAATGCGTGCACAATCTTCGGTAGCAAACTACGTATTAAATAAAAACGTGACCCGTTGCCAATATTAAATAGCAAAATGTATAAATAACGTTAAAGAAAAAACACAGACATACAAATGGTTAATAGTGATTCATTCATCACAAATAAAGTCACGTATTTTACTGTAGGCAAAATGCACATTAGATGTTGACTTCACGAATAAAATTGCAAAGAGTAATCAAAATAACCTTATTAACATCATCGCCTGGTGACAGTTCCTTAACCCGTCGAGCACCGTCATTATAGACACAATTATAGAACAATAGGTTGCGGTCACCGGTGACCGCTACCTTTAACGACAGTTTAAAGTCTACCATTCTAAATAGCATACTAAAGAATCTAAAGTACTTACGCACCGTAAACTTATAGGCTAGTTGTAGAAGTCCTTGGCTCTTGAACAGTGGGCTGACCAGCGATCGCATCCTCTCCATAAGTCCGACAACTGCTGCATGGTCATGTGACACCACCCAATCAGCATAGTCCGCCAGCAGCTCGGATTCCAATTCCTGGTTCTCCATCACGAATCTAGTCAACTGCTGGTCGATCAGCGCTATCTGACCAACCACGTCTGCCCATTCTAACAGCCTCATTTGCAGCAATCCTTTGGCTAGAATAAAATACTTTTAAATATTATCCAATGCCCGTTTTCACAACCTCTCCTAAATTTTAAGAAACCTAAGCTAAAATAGGTGAACCATCGAAATTTTGGTTGATCAAACTATAATTGACACCTAAAGGTATAAATAAGTACGTAAGTATAAGTAATTGGGCTAGTTTAGGTGCTCCCACATGCCAAATAACTTTTAATTAAGTCATCTAAATTAGTTCAATGGTTTTCGAATAAGAAACATTTTTATAAAAATTACCTAAGGCAAAAACAATTAAACGATAAACAACGAACGATAAATAAGCTTCTCAAAAACATACTTAAAAACGTTTCATTAAGGTTCATAGTAAACAAATTCACTCACCTTTCACCATCAACTGTTCTATTGAAGGGTTGGTCTTAATGAGGTTGTCTATATTATTTTCCGCTATTCCTTTATACTTTTCATGGTATTTCGTGATTAGGGACAGAGCTTGTGATAGTTCGGTTATGTCCACATCCATTTCAAGATATACACTGCAGCCATTTTTTATCCCGACAGCAACAAGAAGGAATAGCAGGAAGATTGTTTTGATACGTCCCGCCATCCCGACGTCTGCAAGGAGCACTGATGGACAATAATGTATATTTAAAGGGAAGGGACGCTGCTATCTCATTGTGACCTTTGTAACCTTTCTATCTTTGCAGAATTGTAATGTTGCACACTTACGATCCTAAGGATTCCTTGTAAACAGTTTCTAACTGCCTTATTGATGGTTGCATGTCAACTGCAGATTACAGTGTCGCGGGTTAATTTCCTGTTTGAATCACATCACACATCAATAGCCTATAAATGCCCACTGCTGAGCAAAGCCTCTTCTCAAGAAGAAGGTTTGAGCATTAATCACTATGCTTGCTCATCCTGTTTGAATAAATGTACATAAATTCTGAATTGTGCTTAAGGAAAATATCTTATTGGCTAAATAATATATTTTGTATAGAAGAATTGACTAAGTTTCATGAATTATATTACAATCCTACATAACATATTATCTTTTCTTCCACAGAGTTTGTTCTACGAGATACTAGCAGGCGTGTGGGTGCGCAATGGCCTGCAAATCAAGGGGCAAGCCATGACCTACATCCAGGCAAACTTCTGCAACTCCATGGTGGACATGGACATCTACTGGCTGCAAGTATGCGCCGCGCATCTACCAGCCGACCAGTTCCTCGACATGTGCATTGATATGTGAGTTGTTCATATAAAATTTATCCTAGAATACTAATCCAACGCGATCATTATGTCAATAAATGACAGCTACAGCATAAAGAAGGTTGGTATTTTCTGTTAAAAAAGGAATGCAGGAGATTAGACAGTAGTGAAGGACTTTGTATCGAACTTAGAGATCCTTACTTAATATTATAAATCGGAAAGTGAGTTTGTTTGTTTGTTCCGCTTTCACGCCGTAACTACTAAACCGATTGTTTTGAGTTTTTGCAGACGTAAAGTTAGAAGTCTGGATTAAATAATGGGGTACTGTTTAACCCGGAAAAATTTGATATTCTCGAGGAAAAACGAAATCGTTGATATAAATGGCGCTGTTTGACTGTTTGTATATGTCACATAGGCTACTTTTTATCTTTTTGTAACGCGAGCGAAGCCGCGTGTAAAAGCTAGTAGACTTATAAAACCAAGCAAATGTAATTAGACAATACTAATCAAAGTATTACGATAATCAATATTAGAACAGAATCTACAAATAATGTAGCATTTATTTTTCTTATCATACACAATAGATAAACACGTCGATATTGTACGCTGTTTCTTATGTCACAGATAATATTAACATGCATGTAGCTAAAACCTTAACAAAGCTATTTGTATGAAATCATGTCACTTAACTTTGAAAGTATTTCACTCAAAGAAACTGAGTAATGTTACTATATTTAAATTTATTCAATTCGTGATAATAGGGGTTCTAGGAGTTCTAGGGGGTGTAATCTTCTTACGCGTGATGGATACATATGTATAAAATTAATAGCATATATTTAGGTCACTCACATATTCATATTTCTCCTATGTATAGTCAGATGAGAATATTGTCTTAGATATTTTCACTTAAATGCTGCCCGAACATAAGCTTTTATATTTAATAGGCAAGGTATACTAATAAAAGCCCTTTAAAATAAAAAAAACACTGCTACTGCTTTTACAAATTGTTTTTGAAATTGTACAAAATCAAACCGAAGAACATAATTGTATAATCACTATTATTAAAGTTACAAAAAGAAGTACTTTGATATACTGTGCTGCAGTCCACGTTTCCGTTCACCAGAAAACTAAAGCCACCATACAAAGCAGGCGATTGTGTTAATTTAAATTGTAATTATTACAAAACCGGAGTCTTAACAAAACATCGCATTGTTCTTAACCACGCTTGTTAAATAATATCTACACACATAGTACAATACGTATATAAAATATGTTCTATCTCCTGCTAGCGGTTTCGTCCGCATTGTCATGGGATAAAAAAGTAGCCTGTGTTAATTCCAGACCATAATTTATACCCGTTCCATATTTCTCCCGATCCCTTTAGCTGTTTTGCCGCGGTCGACTAACAAACACACACAAACTCATAAATTCACATTTGTTATATTAGTAAGATTTCATTTCATGAATCGTTCTATTTTAAGAATGTGTACGGATCACACTTTGGGGGCCTGTCATCTTTACAATACCTCTTATATTTTATTGAACTTACTCCCAGGATGTAACAACTTATAAATTGTTGATGCACCCCCTCTCGTCTTCTTTCATCAAGATGTATGCGTTTTTCCCAATCAATAAAAGTACTTTAAATTAAATTACAACAGCCCATGTGAAGTATTAGTGTTGTTTTGTTTGGTTAAATTAAGTAAATATTATCTAGGTACCTGCTTTTTTGTCTTTATTTTAAGTTACTTCAAGTTGGCATAAACCATTATTAAATGTTTGCATCGTCGATCAAGTATTATTTATTAATTTTCTAAACGGCAACATTTTCTCTTCTTACGAAGGGAAGTCCCTATTAATTATAACTGTCTGTTTAACTTAACATATGAAGGCTAATATTGTTATGTAACATAACTCCTATAAATGGTACATTAATATTATAAACATGTGATAATGTATCTCGTTATTGGTAGAATGTAAAGGTTTTATTTGTGTGAGGAGCAGGGGTAGCGATGTACGAGTATCGCACAACTACATTCACAATTGTTCTTCTATTTTATTCGGTGTTACGGGCCTAATGCTGATCATTTGATATCTTTTGTATCGACCCAGTAGTAACGTAGGATAAAAGCAGATATAGAATAATAGTTATAATGTTGTCGACTTGTTCGCAGGTTTGGATGCCGCGAGTGGCTGAGTATGATGCCGATGTCTCCTGCCCAGGCGGCGGAGCAGGACGCCATGGTGGAAGGTCTGCTCACCTTCCTCGCAATACTAGTGTCTTCTAGAACTAACCTAGGTAAGTATTCTGAAAAAAAGAAATAGTAGAGGAGATATTAGACTGATCCTTATTATTATAATGTTGTGATTTGGCACAGGTAATGACGAGTTAACGCAGTCGCGGCTCGAAGTGAGCACGTTACTGGCCGCGGGCGACAAGACACACTCGCAACTACTCGAACTCATGCCCGAGAGGTCTGGCAACGCACACACTAGGAATTTTGAAACTGTTCTCAAAGAGGTGAGTTTGAATTTTTTGTATGTTTTTAACTACACACATACGTGAATTGCAAATTTAAACTTCGATACTGTATGCCCCCTTACGCACTAGTGGTTGACCACTTAGGCGGTTCGTATCGACAGACGCGGTTGCCATAGCGGTTGCATATTAAATTGGAAAAGCGGACAACCGCAGAGAGCGGCTTGCCGCGCGGTTGACCGCTAGTGCGTAAGGGGGCTAAGTGTTTATCTTGTAGTTTCTTATTGTATGGTTTTGTTGTACAGTTGTCAACATACCGTCCACCTCCAAAAGGCTCCGAAAACTTGGAGCAAGGACTATTCGTGCCGAAGCCTATCGTATGGGAACAGTACTACGATCCACTACATGTATTACGTCGAGCTGTGCACCGGAGGGACTTCCACGCGTCCATGGAGCGGTTCACTACTTAGTGAGTGCCAAGTATTGTAGCCATCATGTAGTCGCGGGTAGCGCGGTCGTGTGACAAGAAGACATAATGTTTTATTTATTCGTGCAGTGTGCGCGAGAAGCAGAAGTCAGAAGGTACACCGGAGAGCACGTCGCGCGCCAGCGGCGTACTATGGCCCCCGCTGCGGGGCGCGGGCCCGGTGGCGGGCGGCGCGGGCGGCGCGGGCGGCGC